CAGGTTGCAGGCTTGGGGTGAACTGGTTATAGCAGGAGACTTTCTGCTGTTAGACAGTCTGCTAGGGGACAGGACAGGGCAATGGCCCTTGTGCCAGGCCTTACGGGATCTCTCCAGCAAGGGAGGGCAGAGCTCTAGGCTAAGGGTAGAGTTTAAGCAGAAAGCTTCCCTACCAGCCACACCCTATTCCAACACCCCAGGACTTGTGAGGTGCAGTGGTTTCCCCCCCAAACAGTGCTGTTTTCTCTGGCTACTTTTTCTGGCTTCCCCACTAGTACTGAACCCCTGCAGGCTTCCCTCCACTCCTTGCACACAAGGTGGTAGCTAATCTGATCTGGTAGTCAGTGCAGCTGGTCAAAGAGGCTGGGAGCCCTGGGTAGGTGAGTGGCTACCTACTTGATGCCCTCCCCCTAGAGGATGTGCATCAGGACAGATACCTCCACAGCTGCCAGACTCCAGCCACTGCTCCGGCATCTAACAATAGCTCCAGACAGATCCCTACTAGGGGCTGGGCCAACTCTCCAGTAAAGATTCAGATTCCCCAGGCCCTAGAAAGGGCAGAGTACGTCCATCCCAACTAGAGAGTCTCTGAGATCAGAACACAGGATTTGTAAGTAACCACCTGTTTACCCAGGGTGCAGGCATGGGGAGAACTGGCTATAGCAGGAGACTTTCTGCTGTTAGAGGAACCAGGTTCCCTTAACTTTAAAGAAAGCTTATACATCATTTAACATTTCTAGAGCCTTAAGGATGGGGCAATGATCTTTAGTGGAGAAGGGAAAGGAGATCATGAGCCAAGGAGCTGGACATTGGTCTGCACTCCAGGAACAGAGCTGGGGGCACAGTCTCCTGAAGCAGTGCACTGACCACCAAGCTCTCCTTGCCTCTGCAGCAACCATTTGCCCCACCAGAATTTCCCAGTGCAGAGGAGCCTGCACTGGTCTTGGAATAGCACCTAACCTTTCAGTCAGCCTCACAATGTCATGATTTTTTTTCTGTCAGGACAAAACTCAGATCTCCATATTGGAGGCCCATTTTGCTGGCCAGGCAATTTGCTGGCCAGAACTCCTGCACATATTTTTCGAGAGCAGTTCCACCACCCTCAGAGCCACAAAGATGTTGGAAAAGGAGAGAAAGTAAACAGCTAGAAGCTGACCACATTTACCCACAGAGGACTCCAACCTCCTTCCTCTACTCTGCGCAGCAGCCTCACCTTCCGGAAGTCCTATGTTCAGGGCTGCCAGAGCAGAGCTCAGGAAGACAAGGGGTCAGTATTTTGGAGCCTGAACCCTCCTTGCTGTTCATAAGCCTCCCCAGTCAGATACTTGACCTGGGAGTACCAAGTGTTGGGCTTCACTTTCCTCTGGTTGCACTGGTTGAACCAGTTAAATTAGTCTTGTTTTTTCTAAGTTTTAAAAAAATCTGGCAGGCAGGTACTGGAGACCTTCCAATCCTCCACTCAGGCCAACCCTCGTAATAAGAAAAATACTACTTTCTATTTGTCTCATTTAGGAGGTTTCTATTTTTTTTTTGGTGGTGGTTAACTAAATTTCATGTTATATAATCATAAATTTTCTAAATATTTTCCCAACTGGTTGCCAGCAATTGTGGAAGTGGGGTGTGTGTGTGTGTGTGTGTAGATAGAAGTCTTCAGGGCAGGACCAAGAGTTCCAGTGACTTTTTTTTGGTGTGTGTGTGGTAGTGCTGGGAGTGAAGACAGGGCTTTGAGCATGCCAGGCAGGTGCTTTACCACTGAGTTGCATCCCTAGTCCTCAAGTGCCTGACTCTCCATAAAAACACAATCTGACCATCTGAGAAAGCTTCACCTTGTTCCCTACTTTCTGAAAAATTTCAAAAGCTTATGCCTCAGAGGCTACGTAAGTCTCCTCACTTTTTTTTTTAAGAGTAAGAAAGGTAATGTGAAGTAGGTAAGGTTGGGATTTTGAGAAATAGTGGGTAGAACATGTCACTGGCAAAACCAAAATAAACCCAGAACTGCTGCCTTGGAAGTTTTGGCCTGTGGCTCTGAAGGTCCTTCTCCTGGGCGTGCCTGGGAGAGTCCCCTTCACATAAACCCAGGTGGTGGACACTGTACTGTTACCTGAAAGGTAATCCTTTCCACATTAATCATATACACAGAGGGGTAGAAGAGCGATTCTGAAGGCTCTTCATCACCTTTTGACAAACTCCACTCACAGGACTGGAGATGACTGGCCTCTCTGTCTTTGGTGGTCATGGGCTGACTTTCGTAAGGCAGTCTTAAGTTTAAAGACTCCAGCATACATACATACTCTCATGCACACACCCACCCAGTGAAGAGGTGGACTCTCAAGTAGAGGATGAGGGAAAAACGAGAAACAGAACAAGAATAGCAGTGGCTGTACCTCGGGTGGCCAGCCTGCCCTTTCTCTAAGGGACTCTTCCCTAGCCTGATGAAGGGGAAGAGATAGACCAGCAGCACCAGACACTCAAGTGCTGATATGGAGGAGGACCTGGGGACTCTTTAGGGTGTCATGGGCAGTTCTCTGGGAAAGGAGATAGACCCTCACCTTCCCCATTCTCCACATCCATGTGGGGTGACTCCTGACTCAGGATGGCTCTGAGCACTCTGTCCTCCACAGCTCCTCCTGCAAAGTTTTCCCTGACGACTCTAAGAGTTAAGTTCTCTAAGGCTAAGCCTCCCTCTGCAGCTTCTTTGTGTTCTTATGACAGCAAAGGCAGTGTCCCCAGAGACTGCTCCCCAGCAACCACAGGACAAAAAGGTCTTCATGAGGGCTTACCCAGGTGGGGGCAGAAGTGAATATAGCATTTGAGGCTGTGGTTGGGAGGGCTGTAGACACAGGGGAGGCATCTCTCTCTCCACAGTCCCAAGCAAAGGTCAGTGGACAAAGCTGGGCTTGAGCACGGAGGATTAGAGTACATGTGACAGCAGATCCAGGGACACAGTGGCAGTCACCATGGGGAAAAAAAAGGAAAGGCTGTCTCCTGGGGAGGAAAGGGACTTCTGGACACCAGGCCAGGATATAACAGGAAAGGCAACAAGGCTTCCCACAATGGGAATCTTAGAAGTAAGCAAGTTCTAAGAGACAAGAGAAACATGGGCTGAGCATCTGTGTTTGAAAATCTAAAATCTGAAACCCTTTATTTTTGGTGCTGGGGATCAAACCAGGGTATTCTCCATGCTAAGCAAGTACTTTAGCCGGGTGTTGGCAGCTCATGCCTGTAATCCTAACTACTCAGTAGGCATATAAGGAGGACTGCAGTTTGAAGACAGCTTAGACAAATAGTTTGAGAGACCCTATCTCGAAAAAATCCAAACAACACAAAAAAAGGGCTGGTGGAGTGGCTCAAGGTGTAGGCCCTGAGTTCAAACCCCAATACCGCAAAAAACAAAACAAAAAAACCCCACAAGCCCTCTACTACTGAGCTACACCTCCAGCCCCTGAAGCTTTTTGAGTGGTGATATGACACTCTAAAGCTTCAGATTTTCAGACTGCAAGTTTGGTTCAAGTGGTAGAGTGCCTCAAGGCCCTGAGTACAACCCCCAGTCCACCCCCCAACCAAGAAAAAAAAAGTAAGGTAAAAGTTTCAGATTTTGGATTCTAGATTTCCAGATTAGAGATACTTACCTGATAAAGTCTATGCAAATGTTCCAAAATCTGAAACACCTCTTATACTAAACATTTCAGATAAGGGATACTAAATCTATAATAGGATGTATTTTTAAGAGAACCAAGAGGGTCAGATTCATTAAATTTATTTCCCAGGAACACCTGGCATTACAAGTCCTCCCCTAGGCTGTGAGTGGGCAAGAAACAGTATCCCCAGGAAAAGTCCTCTGTCAGGAAGGGGACAGGAGATAAAAGAGTCCTCAGACTCTCAGAAATCCCAGAAGTCTTTTCCTAGACCCTGGACTGACTTTAATTCAAGAAGTTGGGCCCAGTATCGGGGTAGGAGATCAGCCCTTCAACAAGGCCTGTCCTTAGAGAAGCAGTTTTCTGATGAACATTGTTTGGAGACCAGACTAAGCATGTAAGAATGGAAAACCAGAGGCCCCACCAGCACAGGCTGAGCAGCACTTACAGTCCATCTAGAAAGCTGCAAAAGTGGCTTACCTCTTCTACACAGCACTGACTGAGCACTTGCCACACTCTGTGCTAAAGGGTTCTGTGTGCAGGGATTGGTATCCCCAGACAGAAAATAGAGGCCTATGAAGCTCAGCAACTTCTCTGACATTATAGCCACTGAGTGGTAGAGAAAAACTTGAACTCAGATCAGCAGGTTGCTCCCTGCAGATGGTGATGTTCATTTTGTCCCCAGAGATACCATGTTAGGGTGACTTGGGCATCACATACTCCCCAGGCCCCACACTCCTACCCTCTGCTGTATTCACTGCTCATTTCTGAGACAGCCTCCAAGGTAGAAAGCCTTGGTGGAACAAAGCTGCATGTCAGCATTGTAATCCCTAAAGGGTATCTACAGATTGTACTCATTTCCTCAAACTCTCTGGTATTAGAGTCGCAGGGCTTAACCAGGTGTTCACCTGAGTTTCAAAGTAGGAGGAGACGACCAGGCTTCCCAGTGTGCTTACTACCAGCACACTGGCTCCCCTAACCTATGGAAGATTGGTATTCTTTCTGGGTACTCTGCCGGCTCTTAGAGTGAGTCTGGCTATCTTGGGATCTATCATGGTCAGGTGCAAGAATGACTGTCTCCCAACCAGAACCCCTGGAGCTGAGGGGGTGAGGGCAGAGGACTGAGTAATTGAGAGCTTTCCTATCACTGTGAACCTGACCCTGGGCTTGCCTTCCTTGGCCTACTTCTCTGCCACTCAATTTGTGCTCAAGGCTCCCTGGAACAGTGGGTTTCTCACCTCTATGCAGGCATTTCTGCTGAAAGGTGGTTAAAACCTCAGAGCCCCCCTCAACTGAAGGGGGGACCCAGAACTGGCTGACACCTATGACTGACCCAGGAGGCTAGAGAGGCAGGCCAGTCCTTACCATTGTAGGAGAGGCGAGGTTTGCTCAGACACATTATAAAGTGCATTTCCATCTCATCAGAGGCCACAGACTTGGAGCAAATGGGGCACTTGAAACCTGAAAGAGAGAAAAGAAAAAAGGATGGAATGTCTTCTCTAAATCCAGAACACCCAAGTAAATGTAGACAAACTTAGGATGATAACACCACTGTGGACACCTAGACTGACTTCTCCTTCACTAAGTCACTGAGGTTTTGCCCTTTTCCAGGGCCTTCAGCTCCTAGCTTTCACTAGGGCTCTCACTGACACCCGATTTGAGTTTAACATTCTTTTAGACCCTTTGTCAATGGGGTCTAGAGGACAAGAGGGATAGGGAAGCAGCAAATCCAAGCAGCTGAATAACCTGTCTTGGAATGACAGTACAGTATCTTTCTACCTCACAGCCCTCAAGATGCCTGGCTGGATCACCCTTGGAGGAATGGAATCACTACTGTCTCAGTACTGGTACCTCCATCCCCCATTCTGCTCCACCTCCTCATCCACTCACCCAGGTAGTACCTTCATCCCTCACCCAAGCACCCTTTGCATTCCTCACGGCTGTTCTTTGAGAAGTGTGCAAGCCATGTGTAGCCCTCCAGAATGCTCCCAAATGCCACTAAGTGAAACAGCCTATTTCATGGTGCCAGGTGAACACGGGGTCTCGTGATTTGTCATTTTATTCTCAGGGAAGTTTGAACTCATACATGCAAAAGTTTCATCAGCATTGTATCAGTACTGGTGAATTCTGGTTGAAAATCTGAGTTAAAAATGCAGTAATATTATTGGACTTGGGTCACACGCTAAGGGGAGAGCACATACAGGAGGAACAGGGAAAGGTAGGAAACCCAAAACTTGAAAGTATTTGATGTGCCCACTGCAGAGGAGCCAATATAGTAACCTTAAAATGACAGAGGTCAATATGGGAAGGTGACTGGGAAGTAGTGAAGAGGTCTGGTAGAGATGAATCAATTCGGGTTGTAATACACTTGTGCATGGAAGCAATGCTAGGACTCTCTCTGTATAGCTATCCTTATCTTAACTTGCAAAAATGCTCTGTCTTTCCTATTATTGCTTATTTCTACTCTTCAACAAGATTGGAGAAAAGGACAGAACAAGTTCTGCCTGGAAGCGAGGGGGGGGGGCAGGGAGCAGGGGGGTGTGAAATGGCCCAAACAGTGAATGCAAATATGAATAAATGAATAAAGAAAAAAAATAAAATAAAATCTGAGTTGAACTCCATTAAGCAAACCTCTTGATCAATTTTTAATATGACACAGATGAATTATTTTCAGTCTTTTCCATTACACATTTATTAAAATGAATTTCAAATGGAATCAATTCTTTTTCATATAAATTCTACCAAAAATCAATGGCCAAAGTTACTGATTTGTCTGCATCAATTTATACTTTTTTGTGACAATGATTCTTTCCTGCCTGGCCAGACTTCCTGACATAGTACATACTTAACTACTGCTAAGAAGATTTCATTCTTCTGTTAATTATTTTTTTGGTGGCACTAGGATTTGAACTCAGGGCCTCACTTCTGCAAAGCAGGCTCTTCTGTTAATTTTTAGTCAAGTTTTCCATACAGTTTTATTGGATCCTGCTGGAACATTTCTTGTGTAACAGATAAAAGGTTAAGCATTCAAGGTGACTGCTGCTGCTCCAGGACAAGGTGTTCACACCTTCTTCAGTGTCTGTCCTATGGCTGCCTTGGTAATTTGTATGGAAAGCCTTGACTGAGGAGGGGTGGTGCTGAGACAGGAAAAGTACAAGCACTTCCTTAAGAGTCTTTAAATTCTTTGTTTAGTGAAAATGCATTGAACTACAGGACCAAACAGAAGATTCAGGCCTGGTTAACTACAGTCAAAGTAGACACTTAACTCATAGTCCCACTCCCACTACTCTTTTCCTCAAAGGTTCTCAGCCTCTACACACCTCAGCTAAAAGCCCTAGAAATGGTACCAACCCAGGGATTCTGGCCAAGCTTTGAGAAAAGACTGTATTTCTGGCCTCTGCATGGGTATAAGTTCATTAGTAACAAAACCAGAGACTAAAAAGAAGTATAGGGTGAAAAGGGGGTGTTCTAATCTCCGTTTTCTGGCAGAACTGGATCTAAAATGCATCAGGCTAATTTATTTATTTCTAACTCAGATTAAAAATGGGCAGATTCAGGGGTTGGCAAAATGGTTCAAGTGGTACAGCACCTGTCTAGCAAGCATGAGGCCCTGAGTTCAAATCCTAGTACCACCAAAAAAAAAAAAAAAGAAATGTGCAGATGCAGTACTACATGAGATGGACAGAAAGGAATGAATTTGAGCCTCCCTCTCTCTCTGTTTTTGGTGGGATTGGGGTTTGAACTCAGTGCCTCATGCTTGTGAGGCAGGTGCTCTACCACTTGAGCCACACCTTCAGCCCTATTTTCTTAGTTTTTTTTTTGGCAGTACTGGGCTGAGTCTCAGAATGAAGATGCCTTTAACCGAAGTTCCCGTGCATTCACACAGGTGTTTTCTTCCAATTAACTCAAAAGATTTTACAACAGTTAAAATCTGTTGAACTTGCAAAGGTAACCCTTGTCTATGCAAGCTTGAGGGCTGGGGCTGCGACTAGCTGCACAGGTAAAGGAGCTCCAGAGCAGACTCCAGCCCTGGCCCAGGCAAGGTCACTGCGAGGCCTTCCACCTCCCAAGCTGTGAACTTTCCTGATAACTCAGAACGGATTCAAGGTTACCCTATAATAGTATCATTCACTCCCCTGTATTCCAAGGGGATTCCCTGAGTGCAGGAGAAGGGGTTGAGTTACAGCTAAGGTGCTGGCAAGTAGGCCATTCAAAAGAAGGTCCAGAAGGGAAGGTCACCAGGTGTTTTTGTCCCAGGGAAAAAGGGCTGAGACTCACAGGTTCAGAGCAATCCCCTCATTGTACAGAGGTCTGGAGTAGTCCAAGGTCACAAGACTAAGGTAGTGGGTCGAGACTAGACTCAGACATCTTAGCTTCCAGTTTAAAGTTCTTTCTGCTAGGGAAGAAGGAGCTGACCACAGGGTTTTGAGAAAGAGGTGGGCTGGGAAATGTCACTTCTGGAGAGGAAGCAGCAATATGGCAGTCGAGATCTGCATTTTAACTGAAGCAGGGCCACTGCTCTAGGGGCTTTTTTGTTTTGTTATTTTGTAGAGGCTCATGAAATAACTCAGAATCTATTACGTGAATGGGAGATGGCAAGATGACCCCGGCTTTCCAGACTCAAGACTCTGACAAGTAATCTACCCCTCCTTGGACCTCAGTTTCCTCATCTGAAAAATAGGGGAATTCACCTGAGTCTTGCAAAGATTACATGAGATAAGAAACATAAAAGCATTCCAAAATGAAGTGAATCAAATATAAATGGCAGCACCATCATCAGGCATTTACAGGGAAGGAACAAATGAAATGGGATTCAGGTAGACAGAGGACTAGGGGGACATACTGCAGGAACCAGGGCAAGGACACACTGGCCTCAGGCCATGCAGAGTCTGCTGGAGGTGGCCAGCAGCCACATCTCTGCTGGATCCCAGGCTATTTCCCTTGAACTTCTAGAGCACTGAGTACCACTTCTGATACTTTCCAAACTGCCAATGTAGAAACAAGCCTCTGTTTAACCTCTGCAGCACTTCCTTTCACATATGATAATAAATAATAGCTTGTATTTACTGACTCATTTCTACAGAAAGCCAAGGTGGTTTAGACATTTCTCATTTATCACAATGTAACTATATAAGGTAGGTACTATAATTAACTCTATTTCACAGACCCACAAGTTCAATTAACTTGCTGAAGTTAACACAGCCAGAAAGAGCCAGAACTGGCTAGTAGGGGAGTATGACCACAGAGCCCACACCATACTGTGCCAATTGGTTTACTAGCACAGGAGGAGGAGTTACATGGCAAAAAAAAAAAAAAGACAAAACTGAGCTGGACATGATGGCACAGGCCTGTAATTCCAGCACTTAGGAATCTGAGGCAAGAGGATCTCAAGTTTAAGGCCAGCCTGTACTACACAGCAAGTTCCACGTCAGCCTGGGCTACAGAATGAAACTGTTTTAAAAAAGCAAGCTAGGCGCTGGTGGCTCATGCCCACAATCCTAACTACTTGGGAGACCGAGATGGGGGATCGTGGTTTCATGCCAACCTCGGCAAATAGTTCGCAAGACTCTCTTGAAAATACCCAACACAAAAAACAGGGCTGGCGGAGTGGCTCAAGTGGTAGTGCACCTGCATCTGCTACCATGTGTGAGGCCCTGACCTCACATCCCACTACCACCAAAATAAATAAATAAATAAGCTATGTGGGTTATCATTCGCTGGTAAATGGATGGAATTGGAGAACATCATTCCGAGTGAGGTTAGCCTGGCCCAAAAGACCAAAAATCGTATGTTCTCCCTCATATGCGGACCTTTGATCAAGGGCAAACACAACAAGGGGATTGGACTTTGAGCACATGATAAAAGTGAGAGCACACAAGGGAGGGCTGAGGATAAGTAAGACACCTAAAAAATTAGCTAACATTTGTTGCCCTCAACGCAGAGAAACTAAAGCAGATACCTTAAAAGCAACTGAGGCCAATAGGAAAAGGGGACCAGGAACTAGAGAAAAGGTTAGATCAAAAAGAATTAACCTAGAAGGTAACACACACGCACAGGAAATCAGTGTGAGTCAATGCCCTGTATAGCTATCCTTATCTCAACCAGCAAAAACCCTTGTTCCTTCCTATTATGGCTTATACTCTCTCTACAACAAAATTAGAGATAAGGGCAAAATAGTTTCTGCCAGGTATTGAGGGGGTGAGGGGGAGAGGGAGGGGGCGGAGTGCGTAGTAAGAAAGGGGGTGGGAGCAGGGGGGAGAAACGACCCAAGCATTGTATGCACATATGAATAATAAAACAATAAAAAAAAAAACCTATGTGGGAGGATGAGATTGGGAGGATCACTGTTTCAGAGCAACCCAGACAAAGAAGCTTGTGAGACCCCATCTTAGTGGGGGAAAACAAGCTGGGTGTGGCATACATCTTCTGTAAAATAGGAGGATCGTGGTTCAGACTACCCT